AAAGGCCTCTTCAAAGATAGTTCCCTCATTGCAAACCTGCTTTTGAGTGGTCCATTAATTGAAGTCTGTACTTATCTATTATAGTACAGATACCTCCTATTACCTATTTTTATCTAGTATAGTCAGGAGGAAAGCCCAAAAGAAGCCTTCCCCTCACATGTAAGGTAAGTGCATAAGTACTTGATATGCATATGTAGAAGATATGTGGCATACACATATATATATATGTTTGATATAAATTTGGCAAGCTTTGGACAAGCATTGGAGAGCCATTTACTACCTGTGAAGCTGGTCAGTATTTGTGACTACAGCTGGGCAGGCCAGGCTGTGATTTGAGTCAGCCTCTAACAAGTGAATTATTCAAAAGTTCTCATGTCACAAATCTGCTTTTATGTTTGAGACCCTTTTTGTGCTGAGAGGGCTCCAAAGCCAGTTTAAGGGACTTGGTTAAACTATGAGGCAGAAGGCTGACAACAATTTTGATTATTTTCTAGATTTAATGTGTAAGATATCATAATCAGAGGCTGGAGATAGCTCCTACCAAAGGAAAATCTTATCAGGCAAGATTCACCAACAAAATGCAAGCCCCTCTGCACAGGATAGGTCATCACCCTGCTGGTTTGGTTTGTGTTAAGCTAGAAGAACTCCAGACCCTGAAAGATTTGTGTACTCTCTGTCAAAGTGATGCCAGAGCTCCAGTGCGCTGAAGGTCTGAAGGTCTGACAGCTGTTTAGCAGACCTTTTTCAAATATTCAGAGAGCCCTGGAGCTAGGTTCTTGGTCTGATTTTTTCACAGATGTCCAATGGGGATTTGTGAAGACTGAACCAGTGTTCAGCTTGAGCTGATCCATCCTTGCTACAGGAAAAACCACCAGATTCTTTGCCATCAATCTTGTGCAATTTTACACACACAATTTTCTGGCAACTTGTTTCTGCACAACCACTGAGGGTCATTCATCTTTGTGGTATGCATGTGTAAATCTCCTCCTCTTGTGAAAAGTATCATATTAATGGTGATGTCAGCCCTGAGGACTGCTGAGCAGTCCCACAATCTGTCACAAGACAAGTACCCCCAGTATAAACATAGGAGTAACACTATAAACCAAGTATACACATACATTACAAGACATAACAACAAAGACTCAGTATCTAGAGTCACATGTACAGTAGTGATAATACAGGATATGAAACATGCATCAAACATAAGCATAATACCTTTTGTCCTAACTCCTGTTTCAGATAAACTCTTTTAGAGAGGGAGAGAGCTGAGGCTAGACTATATAAATCCCCTCCTCAGCTCCTGGGCTCAGTCCCTTTTCCTCAACCTTTACCACCAACACCTAAACTGAATAACAGCACAACATTGAGGATTATCCTAAGGAAATCTGCTCAATAGTGCACTATTCAATAGGTGAAAGAAAATAAAGGTTCTCTAACATATATAAAAGGTCAGATAGGCCATCTATCCTAGCATTCCTCAGGGTTTGCCCTTGGGTGTCTGGAGACTCCCCAAGGTAAAATAATAGGATATACTATTCAGGGCAAGCACAAAGTATTAGTCCAAGAAAACTATTTCTTGTCCCTGTTTCAAGGATAGGAGTCATCCTACTTCCTCTGAGGGCCTCTGGTAACCTCAGCAGTCTCCCAATCAAGAGCAACTCTAACAACCCAGCTCAGGCTAAGAAGGTTGGTTGGCTCTTGAACAAATCCTCTCATTAGAGGTCAACTGACTGCAGTCTACACTTGGTGGTGTCACCAGTGTAGATTTCCAGTTCTTTGTTAATAATTGAAGGCTCTATTTAGCCTTTGTCCTATCATTTTAGCCAGGAGCTCAGCCTTACAGTAGCTCAGCCCTGAAAGGTGATTATTGTACATGGTACATGGCTCACATGGGCACTCAAGCAGTTGATATGTGGGATTGATCAAATATAAAATTTCCCTTGTATAATCTCCTCAAATACCATTTTCTTTTTAGGAATCTGCATTGGAGGATCGGTTGAAAAATTTTCTGCAGGCCAAATAAATATTTTGGTAGTGTTGAGAAAAGGTAAAGTCCCACAGCTCAGCTATAAGCCTTTCTTCTAGGTGAATTAGGCATGTGACCCCCAGCTATAGGACACATGGGAAAGAAAACCTTTGGTCCCTTGCAGTGCCAAGACCATCCACCCATTGTCTATCCCATGGAATGTTTCATTAGAATTTTTTTGCCTACACTTTCGATTTACCAGTTCCCTCATTATATCTTATTCTTAAAACCTCCCTGGAGAATTGAAATCCCAAAAATAAAAATAAATAGTCCAATTGAATTTTTCCAGGCTCAAGACTGGTGAGCCAGGACCTTATCATCGTTCAAGAGTTTTATCTGAGTCCCCAAGATTTGACTTTGAACTCCTCCATCCTCTTATCTCCTCCTCCTTATCATTTCCAGTTCACCACACCCTCTCCATCCATACTGGTGCTAAAGAGAATCTATAGGTAGTTATTGTAATGGACTTTGTAATGTTGAACCAGGGGTAATCACTCACCAATTGTCATTCTGACCCCGCAGGGCTGATTTTTAGAAAATGAACATGGAGTCTAGGATTCTACTTTTATAATTTTTTTTGTGGCCGAGTTTATTGGCGAGTCATGCGGATGATTCTGTCAGTCTCAATATTCTGGTAATATCTTTGGCTTATGAAATTGATGAGTTTCCAGGAGATTGTAAAAAAAGTTCTTATTTTTATGTCATTGAAGTATTCTTTGAGAGTTGTGTTCAGTGTGTGATTTAAATCGACACTCTATGTTCCAGATAGCAGTTTTACCCAATTCACTTTTTCACGTTGGAGTTTGTCCTAATCCATACTTTCAAGACCAAGCCCCCAGCCGCTTAACACTTGGGTTGGGAAAACATCGACCCAAGTTTTCGGATCTATGTTGTAGTATTACCTCACCTTACCCCCATAGCTCGCCGACTTCATACTGTACATCTCAGACTTGAAAAATTTCAAACTCTGCTTCATAACAAGAGCGGGATAGACACTGTATCCAGCTGAAAGGTGCTCAACGTTGGGGGCTCTGAAGAGTACAAAGGGGTGCCTTTGTACCCTTGAATGTCGAGGGCTCTTTCAACGAGCACTGTGAGAAAGGTGGTCCTACTGTAGGTCATTTGAAACCAAAATTTGAGCAAATCGTTACAGCATAGCCAGCCCAAAGTATTTACCTTTTAATTTTTATTGGTAGTTTCTGACTCTTGTGTCTCCCCAGCGTCCACGAACCACGGGTCCCGATCAAAACTCAGTATCGTACTGTATACAACCACCACCCTGCTCGATCAATCGATCAAATCACCTTCCCTGAGAACCCATCAGACCACCTACCCCGTCACCATCTCGATTCGTTTGAGGTAAGTTTGACGTTCTAACATTTAATCCAGCTCAAAGAGTCAAATCATAGAGGTCATCAATTCTGACTTGGGCTGTTTTTCGCGCTACCAGTTCCAATCTCCTCCTCAACCCCCAACCTTCCACTATGAACGCCGAGAAACTTAAGCAACTTCAGGCCCAGACCAAGACTGGTATGCATTTTGAAATCAATCGAGGGATCCCGTGACCCACTACCCTACCTCTCATTTATGACATTCACCCTTTCTTTTGTTCATGTTTCGCTTGTCAGCCAGCAAGGGACAGCCAAGACGGAAGGAGATCCGGAAACCAAAGGGATTCACAGCAACTGGTGGACCGGGAGGAGATGACAAGAAACTTCAAGCTGCACTGAAAAAGTTGAATGTACAACCGATGACAGGTATAGAAGAAGTTAACATGTTCAGGGAAGAGGGTAGCAAGATCCTTCATTTTTCGAACCCCAAAAGTAAGACTGGCGTTTTACTGAGTGCAATGACATGACCAATGGCAAATTAATGAAATGATGATCAAAGAATGATTATTGACTTGTTTATTTTATTGATTTGTCTCTAATTAGTTCACGGTGCTGCTAGCATGAACACTTTTGCCGTTCACGGTGTTGGTCAAGAGAAAGACTTGACGGAGCTCGTTCCTGGAATCTTACCTCAATTAGGCGCCGAATCGCTTGCTAACCTCCGACGATTGGCTTCATCTCTTGGAGTTTGTCTTTCTTTCTTTTTTTTTTGCCCTCATCATTGTTATTGATTGGTTAGCCCTGAACCTGTGTCTCTTCTTTCTATGGCTTACAGGATTTAAACAATGTCAACACTGGTCAATTCAAACCGAACGCTAAACCTGCTGGTGTGATTTCTAATGAAGATGATGACGACGTACCCGACCTAGTTGAAACCTTTGATGTAGAAGATACCGCTGCCCGCGGACAAGAATATGAATCCGTTGACTAATTTAAAAAAAGATATATTGTAGTGAATCTCATCCAAAAAAATCATTTACTACTTACTTTGTTTGACCCCTTAACATCTCTACCCTTCTATAAGAAATTTGAAACAACCTAAAAAAGAATGACGAAGGTGACTTAATCAACTGCTTACCCGTCTTGAATCTACGTCTTTGTTGTCTTACCATTTCTTATCTTCAATTCAGCTGATCCTCTTTCTAGAGCTTGTTTGAAACCTTTTATCTATTAGACTAGCATTCCTGTAGTGTTCCCTGGTCAGTTTTTGTTATCTGTAGTGATGAGGCAGTGATTATGACATGCGCAATTATCAAAACAGCTCGTTTCCAATTTGTCTGCTTGACAACTTTGAGTACCTTTTATGAGATTGTGGGCCCCACTGCGCCCGCGAAAAGTGGACTACAACATTTCCTGTTCTCTTGGTGCAGAACGCGTATCTTCCTACTAACTTGATCCAAATCCTGCTTGTTTTTACTTGTGGTGCTCGGTCCAAGGCCTCGACTAGTCGGACAAAAAACCCTTGGACTGGTAGGCTTGCTTTAAAGTCTTTTTTCTTGAGCTTGACCACTTCCATCATCAACATTTGTGGGCGGATGTGATGTCAAGAGAGTTGGGAAATAAGAACTCGAGACAAAAGAAGACGCCCAATGGGGGGCTCGAACCCCCGACAATTCGATAACACGGGGATAGGAAAACCCGGTGAAACTGTATAAAAGTGGAATGCTCTACCGACTGAGCTAACCGGGCTTGGCTGCCTCCAAAACGCTGACATATACTCTGTAAACGTCAACGTGACGTGCATCAGTCCAGGGCCATGACCTGCACGCTGATGCACACCTTTTTTTTTTTTTTCTTTTAGTGCATTACTGGTTTATAAACATATAGCACTTATAGAAAAAGCTTACAAAATGAGATACAATATTGGAAGCCTCATCTTCTGGTGAGCTACTTTCCACCCACCGCCAGCAAAAATTACTCGGACAAGGCTGGTGACCACTCCTTGACGCACACCTTGACATATACCTACTCTCCTCACTATACATTACACCATCACCTTTGTCAATTATTTCAACTTCCTAACTGTTATCACAAGACACATGTGAGTTTCTCTCTCTCTCTCTCTCTCTCTCTCTCTCTCTCTCTTCTCTCTCTTCACTCATTCACTTTTGCTTTCACCTTTTTGATCACTGTCTCTGTAATCCTTGGCTCTCATCTTCACCATTTGCTGGGTCGCTCTGAGATTGCACAGTGGTAAATTGCAGGCTCCAACCTGTTATCGTGGGACACACATGAGTTTCTCTCTCTTCTCTCTCTTTACTTGTCAGAGGTCAGTCAGGTTAGGAACAATGAGTTGACCAGACTGCCCTTCACTGAGCAAGCATGGTAGTCTAGCGGGTTTGGCTTAACCTAACCCTGGTTTGGGCTTTGGTGAAGCTGTGTACCCTACATGTGCCATAACACTCATCAAACCCACACACACCCAACTTTCTCCAGCATGCCAT